CCAGTGAAATACATTTCCTCTTCTTACATATAAAATTGTGATTGAAGACAGCTATGAGCCAGAAATGACTCAGATTGCAAATGTGCAAAGATTTGGGATTTGGGCCAAGTTTTCTTTGTTCAGGTCTACTGTGAGCACAGAATCCATCTAATTAGAAAACTTTATCCTGTGCAGAACCTTTTGGGTAGATTGTTCCCCAAACATGTAAATAAATGGCACCATTGTAATGCCAAATAATAATAGCAGTAGGAGATTGCACAAAGCAGCCATGGCAAAAGAGGAAGAGGAGGAAGAGAACCAGTGAGGAAAGGACATGGTGGGACAGATTTATTCCTTATTGGAATTGCACTGAGGAAGATTTTAGGCCAACACTTACTGGGACAAGAGCAATCTGTAAGTCTGAAAAAAGCAGCTTCCTACAGGTGTGAAATGTGAACTACTATCAGCCATGGGCAGGACCAGAAGCGAAGCACGCTGTTGCCATTACCTTCAAATGGCGTATTAATCGCAGGATCACTGGAGAATGAAACAGCAGCTCCTGCCAGCAGCTGCCAGACTGCCCAGTGAGGCCCCACAGCTGCAGAGGTCCCGCCTGCAAGGGCACCTACCAGAGCCATTGGGCTGATTTAGTTGAAGGGTGGTGGTTCCCTGGGGAGTCAGGAGCAAGTTTTGTTTGTGCTGGGTGATACTGAAAATAAAAACTGCCAAAATAATACGGCAGTCAAAGCAAAGAGATTCTAGTACTGGCACAATTATATCCATATGAAAGTCATCTTATTAGTATGGCAAATTTCCCTTCTTGAAATAACAAGTACTATTATTCAAATATTTGCACTGACAGAAATGTGTCAACACTGACCAGTTTTACAGACTAATATATTAGATACATTGGCAGTATATACAGTGAAGGACTATTGTGTAGAGGAAGCGTCTCCATGCACAGACGTGTGTGTATAGATGTGCATGTGTGCGTAGAGGAAGCTGGAGCAGCAGCAGCAGAGTCACAAGGGACAGGAAATCTCAGGCTGTGCCTGAGAGCCTGGGCGTAACTGCAGTGCCAACCACTGGGCACCTACATCCTTTCCAGGACCCAGCAGCTGGTAGTGACAGACCTGCATGTCCTGCAGCCTTCACCACTGTCTCCAAAGGGGACAGAGTTCTTACTTTCTGCTCTGGAATGCAGCAGAGGTGAAAGATGCTAAGGGGCTGTGAAAATAGCGCAGCCTTCATTTAACCAGGGCACAGTTATTAGCACAGAGAGAGGCTTTATAAACCTCTTTACTACTGCCAATTGCATTCAAAAACTGTTGGGATAAGGATACACAGGAGCAGTTTGTTGGCCAAAGTTACTGGATATCTTCAGCTAAAGATACCAAGGCAGAGTGGAGGCATAAACGTTCAGGTCAACTCTAATTTTAACTCAAGTGGTTTTCTCACCTCTGCCTGTATCAAAGGCAGTATCACAGTATCAGGATTCAGTGTCAGCTGTCAGAGATTTGGTAGCAGTGCAACCGCTTTTATTCCCATCATCACTATTTAACAAGGATGAAAATAGCCACCTCAGCGCAGCCCCCCTCCCTCCATTTGGGAGAGAGACTTCAGCAGCTGCTTCCCAAGCCCACCTTTAACCTCGGCAAGGGCAAGCATCCCCTTATTAAACTCCATGACACAGCTCCATCTCTGCAAAAGCAGCTCCCTTCAGGTGCATTCTTTAATCCTCTGCTCCACTTCTCACGGCAGCAGCACCACCACGAGGCTGCATTGACATTATTTACAACAGGAGCCTTCAGCCTCCGCACTGTACTTCGGGTTCATCCTTCCTTCCTTGTCCTTCCTCTCTGGCCACCCTCCCGACTTACCATTCATTTGTCCGTACCATCCCTATTGCCGTTGTAGTCTTGGTGCTGCCAAGTTTGTACATTTACATTCCCACAGGGGTTTGCGGTTGCATTTCCACAGGGAGATTCAGGGTCCAGCTAACCCCTTTGCACTCTGAAGAGCAGACAAGCCATGCCACCAGGCACGTGCTTTGGCTCTTGGCGAGAAGAAAACTCCCATTTGAGGAAATGGTGAATTTGCAGACTGAATTCAGAGGGCAGAGCACCAGCCTCTCTGCTCATACAGCTTCAGAGCTCTGAGGCCCCCTTGCACAGGGAGATGGCACAAGACCGGTCTCTACTCTGTAGAGGAACATGAGGTTTCTTCACTCCTTTATGGTAGAAGCCACGTTACCTTTTATCCCCCACCTTCCCTTGATGGCAACAAGTCTTACTTTCAGCAAGCAGGGGGAACTATCTGTGACAGACAGGGTCTATCTTGGGGCTCTAGCAGGATGTGGGGTAATACATAAATACGGGTAATAAAATTATAACTAAAATAAGTTAGAAAAATTAAATATTTAATTTTTTACCAGTGCTGGAAGAAGGTCCAACGCTGCTCTGCCTGTTTGCATCATCCAAAAACTTTAGTAGCTTCTTAATAACCTCTGAGATGTGCCCCTGTGCAAACACGTGGCAAGACAGCTCACCTGAGCTGAATTAACCCCTACCCATTAACCCCTCTCCTTGTCACTGCAGACAGTCACCTTGTCAGCTAAACTTGATCTGGCTGCGGTAGGAGTGCCCCTCTCATGAGGAAACTGTCTCAGCTGGAGAGTTAAAAGAATAAAGCACCTAGACAGAAAATAGGTACCAGCAGGCAATGCTTTATTCTCACCGACTATGGGGAACAGTGTACATGAAAGCACCACTCAAGGCCAACAGAGAGTTAAAAACCAGTTATACGGGTTACTTTTCAAACATACTTTGCAAGTGCTACAACTGAATGCATAAACACAGGCATAAAAACAGGCTCTGGGAGGCCTCATATGACATGCACAAAAGCTTTTTTTCTCCCAAGTGCAGAAACTTCCCCTCACATTGCCTAAACACAGCCAAAGAGAAAGTAAAACCAGAGTTTTTATTCAGCCCAGCAAAAGCAACCTGTGCAGAGCAGCATTTATGGGGCTCCAGAGGGAGAGATCTGCAGAGGAGGGAAACAGCAAGAACAACTTGAGGTAAAGAAAGCAAAACCAGGAGGTCCTCTAGAGATGCCAACCACTAAAAAACCCAAATATGCCTGTTAAAATAGATGTCAGGCAGTAGCAAACTGCAGGTGCTTAAGGAAGTGACGTAGTTCAAGATCTGCTATTTAAAACTCAGCCACCCTCTAACGTTCTGCAGTGTCTCACCCGTAGCATTTGGGCACACATGCATACCCTGTGGAGCACTGCCATGCCTGCAAAACAACTACATGCTACCAGGCTGTTATTCCTGTTTCTGGTAAGCTGTTTGTTAGAAAAAATTCTCAAGATGCTAACTCCAAAATGCTGTAGTAGCAGGTCTGCAGGATCCACCAGGCTCTGCAGGATCCCCACAAGCCACCCGTGTTTCAGAGCCAGGTCCCTGGCCTAGATCACATGCCAAAACTTCACAGAGATGAGCTCCTGAGTGCTCCCTGCTACCAAAAGCTGGGAATTAAAAACAAAAAACAGCAGCAAAAAAACCCCAAACTTTTTTTGAAGAGCCTACTAACTAATTTCACTGCTTTAGTACTGTGCCAAAAAGAAAAAGAGATTCCTTGAGAGGTGACCCAATGCAACAATTGTATCTGGCGAGTTGGAGTCCTGTGTAGCTTTAGACATACCAAATAGTGCAGCAAATAAACATAAGACCCCTGGGATGGGCAGATCTCCCCGGAGTATTCTTTGGCCTCCCAGCTTCACACAAGGTCCTTGTATATGTCAAGAACCTGTCAAGGCTCTTTTAACCTTCTCTGGGCCCAGTGTGTTTCATGCTGTTATTGCCCTATTTTTTTTCTTCTCCCCAAAACTTCCATTTTTCTTTTTTTCAGAACTCTGCCAGTATGTTGTGGATTATATGAACACAAATCAAGCTTCTCTGTTTCCATACCTGACTATAGAGATGCGCCAACATCTGCTGCTTTCAGTCCTTCCTCTCATCTCTCGTCATTGCTCCCCTTGTGCTTCCAAACCTTGGTATGGTGAAGGACTGGCACATCCCTTCCTCACTCTGTTTGCTGAATCTCAGGTTCAGAAGTGCTTTATTGCTCTGCATATAAGGCAAACCCTTCACTTCTCAAAAGGCGGGAAAAGAAATATTTAGAAAATGTATGTATTTTAAAAAACTATGCCTTGTCCCATGATGCCTGTCACAACTTACCTCTCCCCAGCCCACTCACTGCCCAGCACCCCCTGTGTCACCCAGCATCTCCTGCAAGGTGGCACAGCCCCCTGCCCCAAGCCCCTCTCCTGCATTTCCCCAGGGGTGCCCAAGGTGCTGGGAGGCACTTGGATGGCACCAGTCACCTCTCCACATCAGCTCATTGCACAGGGGACTACAGGGGACCACAGGCAAGATTAATCCCTTGAAATGGGAAGAAAATTTCAGTGCAGCTGGGGAGGTTTCTGCTGTCATGGGGCTGGAGGTCTGAGCTCGACACGGATATCTCCGGTATCTGCCGTTGCACTAGCAAATACCAAAGACTTGTAAAGGAGCCACCTGGTAGCTTGGCACCTACAGCGTACACTGGCACGTACAGTGAGCTGTACACCCTTCGATAACCCCACCGTATGCCCTCTGGGCTAGCAGGCCCTGCTCTCTCTGCTTCCTAGATCAAGCCGTCTAATCCTATAGCCCAAATACTTCCAAAGCCCATCTCTTACTTTGTAGGTAAATATATATATATATATATATGTGTGCATATCTCTTACTTTCTAAGTATGTATATAAATATATTATTTTCCTTTTTACAGTTACAAATTACATTTACAAATGGTTGGGTTTGGGTTTTTTTTTTCCACTATCTATGCAAGATTTCCTCAAGATATAAAACTTAAAAAAATACTTTTATTTTTTATTAATTTTTAAAAGCCTACATCAAAAGATACTGTGTACTTCTGCAGCTACTTCTTCATCAGCTTCCTGGAGCACACCAAGCCTTCACTCGACATTCAGGTCCAAAATGTCGCAGAGGTTTTTCGCCACATGCTGAGGCTGCTTGGCAGCATGCTCCTTCAGCCCGGAGCCCATCACTTGATAGAGGCTCTTTGCAAACTTGGCAACCACAGGCCTGACTTTGCCACTTCGGACAGGCAGGACCGCATTTCCCAGGAAGAACCAGAGCGCGGGCAGGGCGTAGCGCTTGACAGCTTGGGGTTTCCGGGGATGAACAGACGCCACAAGTACTGCCAGGCGAGAGAGACAAGCTTCTTAACAGCCTTAATGCAAGCAAGTACCTACTGTTATTTTTGGTTCTCAGAAGCCTTTTCTGGCTAATATCAGCAAGCACAAAGAGCCTGATGATCCAGAAAGAGGCAACAGTGACTGATCATCCAACAACCAACCTCTGAGGACCCTAATTTCTCCAAATCAGAGGCTTTGGATCCATGATAGACTTAGCAAAGTGAATCACACACATTTTGTAAATCGTTTCACTGTCTGCTTCTGCATTACAAATTACAAAAATGTCAAAATACTGTTGATTTCCATTAAGAAGATGTCTAAACCATCTGCTGAAGATTTTGAAATGCACCTTAAAGAGGTAATTGAAATATTTCTAATAAAAAGGATGATTACTTTTTTGGTGACCTTTGATGAAAAATGCCAAAAGTGTCATCCGGCAGTTCCCTTTGCTCAGTGGCACACAGCAAACAGCAGTATTGTACCACACTTCAAAACTCCAGCCCACAAAAGATGCGTGCTGCTTGACAGTTTGTTAGAAACACCAGTGACTAACTGATGTCTTGGGCAGAATGATCTAATTTGAGCTTTTTTCCCCTCAGACTTGGTGGCTCCTAATGAACAGTAGTTTCAAACTTCAGGATGTCTTAGATAATTACCCAGACCCCATTGCCATGGCATTTGAGCATCTCACAATTTTAATGGCATTTACCCTCACAATGTTCCCTGAAACAGAGGAATAGAGATAGAAAAATCTTACACAGGGGGCTGAAATTTAACCAAAAAAACCAAACGTTCCCTCTTATTCTCTATCAAGTCTGCTCACAGCTCATTTTCTGAACTGAACTACATTAAATATAACCAAAAATTTACTACCAATAGGCTCCTCACGTGTCAGATTTTGCTGAGACATGAAAATCTGAAATGCTCTGGAGGCCAAGTTCTTATTTTGTGTTGAATGGAAATGTTATGCAGTAACCATTTATTATTCTGTAGTGGAAGGACCTTCATTTTCCCTTTGCTGTTAATCTAGCATCAGTCATCAACATTTAAAGAGCTCCTGAAAGTACCTAAAAACAATTCTGGTAAGCAGGAAAAGGGTTATGGTACCTAATTTAAAATGGGAGTTAATTTGAGTTTAAATGCTATTAAACACAGCGGTCACTATGGAGCTTCAGAAAAGAAAGAGCTGCCTGTTCCTACTAAATCCCAGAGAGAACATCTGCTCTCTCTAAAGTGGTCCCGATTTATGTTCAGATGCTTTATTTGAAAAAGGGATTAAAATAACTATAAAAGTAAATTCTATGTTTATGGAGATTTACTATATTCAAATTATCTTTAAAGGCCCTTTTATATTTGCTGTGGCTAAGCATGCCCTTTTGAGATTCATAATGAAGAAGCAAAGTGTATTAAACCTTGGATTGAAAGATGCTGGCATAATTAGCACTGGATTTAGCCCTAACTGAAACAAGGCTATAAATAGTCTTTTCTAGTATATATTGAGATTATAATTTTTCCCATTCCTTGGCTATTGCTGACATAGCGAGCTACTATTATAAATCAATTATCAACTGCCTTTGTAGTGTGTCAGACAGCTCTGATATAGAAATAGACTGTTTACACAGCCTGGAATGCTCCGAGTCCAATGGCATATCTGCAATACAGGCAGGGAGCCCCAGTGGGTTGGGCTCAGCTGCCTGCTTCTTCCCCTCTACCCCCAAATCCTGCTTTGCACAAAATCTTTGCCTGTAACGTGTGTTATGGTTTCGCCTACACTGTGACCCTCAGGCTCTGCAGGATTTGGCCTCAAAAGTTTCCAAGAAGAAAACAAAAATCTTGTGATGACAAACCAAACTGATCCTCAGAAATACCAGTTACCACATTTTTTTCTACAGGATGGCCATTCATTTTAGAAAGGGGACTTCTTACAGACACCTGTGACCTTTACTGTACTGTCCTTCAAAGAGAGGAGCCAGCCAGGGTATTTTTAGCCCCTCTTTTTCCTGGACATGGGTTCTGAGATGCCCCAGTGAGAGCTCAGCACCAGAGCCCGAGCACCGTCCTCATATCACATGCTGCATGCCTCCGCAGCAGCGAGGCAAACCCCTGCCAAATGCACCTACTATGTGTAATTTGTAGGAGGAACAAGCTCAGGACCTTCTGGTGTTTGGTGAGATACTGCACTGTCTATTCAGAGGAATTCCCTCTAAATATTCCCTGTGAAGGCTTCTTGACTTAGAAATGGAGATGAGCTGAAGCAGGCCAATACCTGAGAGGTGTTCTGTGACATCCAGCAGAGCTTGGCCACTGAGGAAACGCACTCGGTGGGCAAAGGCTTGCAGCAGCAATGGGTTATCTGAAAGAGAAACATTTATTTCTGCTCACTCTTCTGAGGTTGTAATAAAAAATAAAAGGGGGAGGGGGAGGGCAGAGGTAACTGTATTTTGCAAAATAAAGTGAATTTCTGCCAGTTTGGGTCCTTTTCTTCTTTCCTTTCAGCTTACTTGGGAGGATTTTAAATTCAAAAAGAAAAGCTCTCATCTCACATTTGTAAATCCCAACCTGACTGCTGTACAAGGAGCTGTGTTAAACACTTCACATCAGGGCCCCCAAAATTTCAATCACATGTGAGCAGTGAAAAGGTTTTGTGTCTTGGAGCTTTGCAGAAGTGACCTCCCCCCTCCCCTAAGGGAAAAGGTGAGAATGCTCAGAAGGCCACACATCCACTCATGCTTTAAGGATAAGCTGGTGTTAAATCTTCAAGTTACCTGTTGGGATCTATGGGCAAGATTTCGAGTTACTCTTACAAGAGAGAAGTACTGCTCATTGCCAACACCGTCCACTTTTAGGGGCTCTTGTAACATCTCTGAAATCAGATCTTGGCAGACAGGCTGCAAAATGAACTGATTTCCCAATACTTGACAGTCATATATATTTCAGTTTTTCCTATGCTGCCTGTTGTTGATTTGGGATCTTATCTTAATTTATTAATTGTTGCCTGGATTGGTCTGCAGGCTCCAGTCTTAACACTATGATAAGCCAAGCAAAGCTTTTCTTGGAGGCAGAATGCTCATGGGATGCGCTACTATGCCTTGCAGTGTCACCAGAAGTGGCATCAATAAAGCAGGCAACCTACTTCTCTGTGAACTACTACGGTGGCAAATCCCGAAGTGGTTTTAAGTAGCACTGTACTATTAAGTGCTCCTTTCTGCATGAGATATAAAAAGGAAGTCCCTAATGATCTTCTTGCAAGTGTACAATAAAGAACTGATCCTGCTATCCTAATTAAGCTTCTGCTTTGGTAATTACACTCTTCTCATTCACCTTTTTCAACAGACACTTCACTTTTTACCTCACATTCTTGCAGTATTGGCAGGCGCTGTTTCACACTTGCTGCTCCTCCCCAGAGAGTTACCTTACAGCTGCTCCTTTGAAAGAAAATGCTCTGAGATCTGGAGATCTTGAAGGAGCACCAAATGTTAATTAATCGTTAATATCGCTATCTACACAGATTTTCAGGGGAACACTTGGGTTTGGGTGTGTGAAGGGGAACTGTTTGTTTACTTGGTTTTTAGGAATCTAAGTGTATAGGCAATATTCACCTTTCAATTTAAGGGTTTCAAACGCCCTGTGCACTTTGAAACAGTAAAGCTTGAGTCAATAACAAATTTATCCAGCCATTACTTTAGCTGCCTTGAGAGACCTAAAGACAGAATAGCTTTTAATGGCTGTTAGAGAAAACAAGGCGGCCGGCAGTTCAAGTCTTACTAACTCAGCTTTAATTCTCTGCACTACATCTTAGCTAAACCTGTTGGCCACAGGAACAGACAGCTCAGCATCTGAAATACGAGCAAAAGAATGATCTGCTTCTCCACGCTTTCATTTTCACTGTGTTCCCCTCTTTGCCATGTTACCACCTACATGGGAAACTTCCCTTCCCCCTTGCAGGGGGCTGGTTCCTCTGGGAGCTGCTGGCCTGACTCCATGCCCTGCTGTCAGGCAGTGGCCATCTGAAGGGCATTTCTTTCATGACAGAGGACAGTGTAAGACAGATGTCAGAGGAGAGCAAGATCTATGTCTTGGTCCCATTGCAGTCAGGCTTGATTTGCTGACTCGCGCTCATCTACAAGGTGGCTCCCTCAAGTGGGATTAAGATACCAGGTCACAGCTAATGAATGTGTGTGGCCTTCAACTGGGAACGTCAAAGCCAATGTCAGGGTTAAGCTAAATGGACAATTCAGGCATTATTTGGAAGCAAATTAATTTGTTTATAGGTAGAATTTTGGTCTCAGAGATGGGGGGGGGCAGGTTTTGCTTTTGGGTTGGGTTTTTTTGGTTTTGTCATCGAGTGATCAAGCAATTCTCTAACCAGCTTGCATTTTTGCACAGATCATTAAAGGTCACAGACAAGGAAGTCTCACCTAAAACTCAGAATCCAATGCATGTCAACACAGCAGTAGCTGGGCTCTTAGCCACAAAACTCAGTGAGCAATGGGGCAAGACATCATGGTGACTTACTCTAAGCTCATCCTTTAGAGTTCTGGGGGGGCATTGTCATTTGCCACTTGATTTTAAATTGTAAAGGCAGGCAATTTTAAAGCATATGGGAAGGTTTCAGTCATGCATTTTTCCAATACAGCCTTCCTTCCCCCACTAAAGACCTAGATGTTGAATCTTGAAATATTTTTGATTCAGTTGCCTGTTTGAATTTTTACAAACGTCCATAAAAATTAGCAGAACCAGAAAAATATATCCCACCTTGTTTGCTTGAACCTGTCTCTGGGTAAAGTCAGTGTGATGAGAGAGATGCGCCTTGCTCCTGTTCTGACATCTGCCAGTATGGAAAATTTACAGTGATCACTCAGAACTGGCGAGAGGGGAATGACAGAAAGCTCCATACAAAACCCTGAAGGGATCTGTTTGCTGCATCCTCTGTTAGCAGGATTCTGCAACTTTTCCCCAACCTTCTCCCAGGCACCACGAAAAATTGGTAAGGGCCAAGAGCAGTATAGGTCTCATACCCTTCTCCCCACTTCACGATCAGCAGCAACCCTGTACTTGGGACACAGAAAGGCAGCAGGTCAGCAGATTCACTGCGTTCACAAAGCGGCTGATGTGGAGAAAGTTGTTAATTCCCCTTTAAGACCTGCCTCTTCAACACTAAATTTTTCAGGCATATTCACCCCGTGCTGCATTTTCACAGCTGACATAAATCTGTGTTGGCAAGGGAATTTACAGTGGACCTTGGCTATGTAGTTATTGGCTATAGCAATCTTGCCCCATGCAGAACAACATGTGGAACAAGCCATCATTTACAGCTGGATTTATACCTGTTTGTTCTAAAGAAATGAACCTGGCAAATCATAAATTCCCTTTTAAAAAAAAGAAGGCAAAGAAGAAAGGTGGAAAATAGACAGCACCAGCTAATGCCTATAATGTAGAGCCTTCCAGAAAGCTGTTCTGTGGAAGCTGTGATGGGCCAGTGTCCCTTCACACCAACAGCAAAGCAATTCATTTCGGAAGTCAAATTGGGCCCAGACAACCTCCAAAATTCCCTTTGTCCCTGAATTCTAACAAAGTTGTACTCCAGGATTTATTGTTCAGCTCCTTCTCTACCAAAGCAGAAAAGCAGTACAGAGCCAAAGGCTCCTGGGGCTTCGGGGAAATGCTGGTACACATTCAAGCTCATCTGGGAACTGGTGCATAAAGACTGCACCACAACAGCTTCTGGTTACCTGGCTCACCAGTTACAGTCAGGCAGGAATTCAGGTCCTTTGAGATATCGCATAAACAACACGAGTTATCTACAAACTTGGCATCAACCACAGAACCCAAAGACTTTATGTGGAACCTGCTTTTCTGTTGTAGATCTTAATCAGTGTACAAAAACTCCTGGTGAACACTTATTGATGGCATTCACCTTTCCAAAACCAAACTCCTTGCAGGCGTAAGTGTACATGCACCAGCTCTCATTCAGCAGGAGTTAGAGCTGGAGTAAACAGCAGATGAAGAGCACCAGGGACCAGAAACTTCTGGTCACAGCTGCAGCAACGACAGTGGTAGCACAAGGATTGATTCTGAATCTACACCAGAGGGAAATTCAGGCCTGGATTCAACTCGCCAAACTTTAAGCACTTCACTGAGGTTTCAGTGGGCAGGTGTAAACACCTCCAGCAAACTACACAGAGCAGCCTGAGTCTCCCTCCCTGATGGAAATGTGTGCAAAAAGAAAACCAGGCAACATTGTCGCCTCTCCACTAGATCCTTGCAGCTGGATCCTCGAGGGCAGCCAGCTGCCTAGAGTAAAGCACATAAGAATAACAGAAGAGTCACAGAGAACAATCCTTGCAACAGACTTGAGTCTGGTTTTTAACTGTCCCCTGGCTGCCACCAACCCTACCAGCCCCTTCCTTCACTTAGAGAGCCACCCAGTTGTCTACGCTTGTACTCATTGTTGTGAATCATTAATATCAACCGTAAAACTGAGTTGAGAGAAAAAACATCTTAGTATAATCCCATTCTACTTTATTCCCATCCTTTTATTTCTGCTTTTCTGACTCCCTTATTTTTAGGTTACTGCCTCCAAATTAAGGCAAATTGAAACCTGTGGCAGGTAAGGGGAAGCAGGGAGCTAACTTCAGGACAGTACCTCCATATGCTTTTAAGAAATACATACTACCCACATGCATACAATCAGTTTTTAGTGCAAATCACAAGGGAATAATTCCAAATACATTGACCAAAAAGTAACTGTTAAAAGCTGTTTTGATGAACTGTGAAGACACCAACATAGACTTCTGTAGTATTATCCATGAAGGAACATACCTCCGTATTTCTGTATTTGCTAGTCCACCGCATGCAAGCATACAGCTTTTGGGCAGCAAAAAGGGATGGGCTGGAGGTGCACTCTGCAGGGCAGGAGCTCCCAGCCAACATGAGCCTGAGGATTCCTGAGAGCTTCAGCATGACTCTGGTAGGTAGCAGAAGACAAGCTGCACAACCTGCAGCAGGCCACATGGTTCAGGACACATCAGGACGTTCCCCTCTCCCTACTGCGGGTACAGATTTTATGTCGACAGGCACACTTGTGTCCCCATGCTCCAGCATTCAGAAAAGGGGATGATAATGGCCTCCTTACCCTTCTGGAAGAAGGAAGCAGAGGCTTTTCTAACCCCACACACATGGAGACCTCCAGGCTGACTATGGAACATGCATTTCATCCTTCATCTGGTCTCCACATCTTTCATAACACAGAATCTTATTAAATTCAAGGTCTCATTTTCATTTGGGCTTTATGTGGCTGAATTACTACCTAAAGCTTCAAAATGAGTAACTGAGTCCTCTCTACTGAATTAATAATCAGACATAGGATCCAGGTGATAAGTGGCATCCATTCAGCTGCACAACATGATACAACAGATTGGGATAGAATGAATGCAGGCAGGACTTTGTAAACATCTTGCAGCAGCTGCATATTTCCACAGACAGCAAAAGCTGTCAACAGCCTCAGTGTTCACTTGACTCTGAGTTGTAGGAGCCACAGTTGAGGAGAGTCAATGTCAGAGGTTAGCCTTACCGAGGTGAGCAATGGATGCTTCCAGCACTTTCACAGCTGCAGCATAAATCCCCAAGTGCTTTGAGTTCAGGTTGTCAGTGACTGCTGCTACCAGAGAGATCAGCACTGGGTGTAAGGCATCTCTGAGCATGGGCGTCATTGAAGCCAGCGCCTCCAGCGCCTGCTGTTTCACTTTCTTGTTGCAATCCTGAAGTCTCAGGACAAAAACATCAAAAATCTATTAAAAACACAAATGACATGAAAGCTGGATTAAAACATCTTTCTTTCAAGAAGGGATGTAGAAACAAGTACCCAGCAATGTAAAAGATGAATGTAATCCTTTCTGTCAGGTCAGCGCTTGCCAGCACAATTTCACTGTTTTCCTCTGAGCTACTCACTGCAGTGATTGCACAACCTCATTCAGGTTGAAAAGATTTGTGTGTTTTATTAAGAGGTTTGGGTGGGGACAGGATGGTTCATAAGGTGTTTCTCTTTAACTAGAAATCATTAAATTAGTCCCACTGTAACAATGTAAAATAGTATCTTTGGTATAGAGGTATGAAAACAGGTATTTACAGTGCCCATTTTTCCGTAAAGTTGTCTCAAGTACTGAGGGTGGTTTTGATTTTGCCAAAATTGTGGCTGGATGAGATCCAAGTTTTGTTTTATCTGTCCCAGAACCTGCATCTGGAAGAGTGAAGGGCTCTGATGAACTCTTCAGGATCCAGACCACTTATCTAGCTAACAGGTAGACTTCTGAAGTTTAATGTGCTCTGCAGTTCTCATTACATCAGGTTCAGTCACTTGACAGCCACATTATCAGACACCATTTTCTGGAAAAGGGGAAAAAAGTAGCTGCTGGGAGGAGAAGGAAGAAAAGATCTGTCTCTAGCCATTTTCCTCCTCTTTCCAAGGAGAAAAAAGCAGCCCCAGGAAGGGTGAGAACAGTCTTTCCCAAACAGGAAAGGGATGAGGCCAAAATTGAACAGGCAAGTGTTGAGTCTGCACAAGATAAGATCAAGTTTACAGGAGCATCCTTTAAAAATTTTTTTAAAAAAATTTTTTTATAAATCAACCCAGCCTGATACTTCTTTTCCCCATCCCAAACCAATTTTTTTCCTGGAAAATATTTGTCAAGCTTTCAGTGGCTGGATTTCCTTTATTTCAACCTAACTGGCAGTACGAGACAGCAGAAGCTACAGCAACAGTAGATTCTGTCATCATCTCATGAACAGCACCAATAGGTACCTGCCAGAGAAATACATCTGGACTGAAATTACTTGCCCTAGAGCCTGGAATTGAATTAAATTATTCTGGATGAGAAGGGACCAGCCTGTCCCAAACATCTAGTATGTAATGCAAAGACACACTGAGTTAACTTTACTGGTACAGGCTTGGGAAGGGAGCTAATGGGAAAGGAGCAACAGAGATGCCCTACATACCTGGGCAATGTTAGAGGAGATGAGCTGAGGGCTGCTTTTGCAGTGATTGAGGAGGAGCACCACTCCCTCCACTCGTGTCTGAAACTCCTTGGCTGACAGGAGCTTGTAAAGCTCATTGAGCTGTTCAGTTTCTTCCACAGTCTGAAGTGACGTGCGACAGGCTGTCTGACGGGGTAAGACAAGTAGGTCAGAGCCAGACCTCAAACTGGAAAATAAATACAAGGTAAGACCTTTTGGTGATAATATCTTCAGTTAATTGTGAGTAAAACATCTTGAGGAGGCATCCTAATGTTATTTCAGCTAGATCCTGATCTGAAAAGGAACTTGGACCACATGACAATCATTACAGGAGACAATCTGTAACTTTATCACTAGTGCTTACTCAGGAAAACCAAGGCACCAAGGATGGGATTAAACTCATTTCTCTTCAGATGTCCTCCCAGGTATTCATCTAGCATACCTTTGTGGGAAAAAACAGGCACCTCTTCAAAGTTTAAATGCCTCATCTTAAGGGAGGTGTCTCTATTATAAAATTAATTACTCTGGAGAAGTGTCTCTACAACCGGTATGGGAATCTGGATAAATAACTCAGATGCATCTGAACAGATGAATCCTACCCTGAGAGATTAAGGGGCATGTCTGAAAGGATCCAGAGGATCAGTAACAGAGATAAAAACAGAAACACCCTACCACTATGCTAACATTATTACTTCCCCAGGGAGTGGATCCACAGCTTAACAAACCCAATGGGAACAATTCTCTTGGATCAACCACTCTCTGCCATGAGCATGGGGAGATCCAACTATGCTAATGAGGCGTGTGGTCACCTTCCTGCCACCACAGAGCACAACAGAGCTAAATAAATCCATTCTGTTGCCAGAGGAGAAAAGGTACAAGTAGCTGTCCCCCTTGCAGTGGGAAACATCAGGGACCAAATTCCTATCTTGAATGCTGATTGCAGCACAGGGGAAAAAAGCATACTGTCCATCAACCAACCAGTAATGGGTCTGAATGACATTAATAGCTATAGAAAAAGTCCATGTTGAGATGTCCATTGAGCAGAACTGCTTAGGAATTGTCTTGCTGGTACTGTTTGAGGGTCAGAAAGCCAGAATTCAGCCAGGCAAAACCACATGCATGGAAAGTGCTGGTTTGGGGAATGGCATCTTGGTTCTAGACTGGGACTTCTCATCAAACCACCCATCTAAAAAAGACTCCATTCAGATAAGAACACCCTGATTGAAATTACTTGTCCCAAGTCAAACAGCAGAGACATGACCCTCTCACAACCTCCGCAGCACTGTCCTCACCACAGCGCTGGAACTTCTGAGCTGCAGCTGGCGGCTTCCTCTTCCTCTCTCACAATTTTTGTGGAAAACCCTCCAGAGAACTTGTATACAGCTTAATGCAGAACATTTTTTATCATAGAAGATTTGTGGGGCAAGGAAATAATTTCTGACACAGCTCGTCTCCACCAGAAATATTTTACTGAGGAAGAGACATGTAAAGCTTGTCATGTGCTTTGTCAGATATAATAGAAATGCTCATTACCCTCCATCAGAAGGCAAGTTGTCCTGGGGCATCACCAAGCCACTGTTCCTAGGCCTCCTGGGGTCCTTGACAGGTGGAAGTTCATATTTATGGTCTTCTGTCCCCTACAGGTACATACATATATAAAAAACCATAAATCTATAGAAGATAAAAGAGGAAATTACTTGTTTAAAACACAAGTTATAACCAGGAGATCACTGCTAACACGAAAGGCTTAGGAAAACATTTCATAACCTAGAGAGGGAGACAGCCCAGAGATTCAGTGATGTCTACTATTTGTTTTCATAACCCAAGGCAGGATATAGTGGGCAGCAGTATAAAATACTGAATTCATTACTCTTCAGCAAAAATGTGAATAATGCAAACTTGTAGGGAAGAAGCCTCCTTAAAGGGAATAGTAGGAAACTTTTGGACTCTCTGAAGGTTGGCCCATTGTGTTGGGAGTTGATTTGGTTCACACACATTTTCCCTATTCTTGCACAAAGGCACATTCCTCTCTAGAATGTAAATGGAGAGGAATGAAAAAATAAAAAAAAGGGGTGATTTTCCACTGGATGCTGAATTCACGAAGTTTCTTCCAGCTCCACAGTGCATGACAGCAGGGCATTATTCCCAGAACACAGACAATATATGTACTAATTATGATTTCCTTATGCATCTTTTGTATATTTGGAAGTTTTATTGGCACTACTACTTCCTTTGCTTGTTACAAAACTCTACTACATTCAAAAGCACTATTCTCACTTCCTTGCTTTGGGGCAGGGGCGTAGTGTTGTGGTTTTTTGTGCTTGAAGGTAAAACCATTTTCTCCTGCTTCCCTTTCCTGTTTGTGGCTGATAGTCAAAATACATTGACTTTATTTCTGACAATACTAATTCCTTCACTGTCTGCAGATAAACAGGCTGAGGTTCAACAGTTCATTCCAGGAGCATAATGATTCAGTGGAAGAAGAATGAGATAAAAAAAATTAGGTACATTTAATCTCATATTAGCAATCTCAGTACTTGCATAAAGGAGACATTTCTCCCGCCAGGCACTTACTTTCTGCTTAATTCTTGCCATAACATCTTGCAAGTCACGTGAGGGGACAGACCATTTCAAATAGCTATTAAATTTTTGATGACTCATCAGTATATTCAGCATTTTCCGTCCATAACACCTAACACAGGAAAGAGAGAAATGAATACAGACTATTATTGTCTTTTCTCCCTTGTGAATAAACAAAAGAAAAGTGTTAATAGAATAAGATGATATTTTAGACTCGTTGTGTGCAGTACCTTCATGAAAAGGTATTACCTATTCAGCAAAGAGAGAGGTTTACCTCCAACTTGTTGTCACTGCACAATGCTGCCAGCTGAACACAAGAGGAGAACACAGGGCACTAGGAAAATACAATTTCACTCTGAAATCGTGGGTAGGCTCCTGTGGGATCAAAGGATCCCGTGGGACGAGTGAAGCACATCTCCTTCTTCGCTGTCATGGCTTATTTCAGTCTCTTGCTGGAGGTTGTTCAGCCACAGACAACAACATTATACAATGATTGGGAGGAAAAGTTTGTGACTGTCATAGGCAACTAAATCTGCAGAAGTGGTTTAGAAAGACTGAATACATTGGTTAAAGATAGCTGGCATATTTCTAGTCTAGTGTTAACCTTATCAGAAATAAATGCATGGGATCCTTCAGTGATGAATAATGGCCAGCGCTTCAGCTTTGTGCATTTGACTGACTAATCTAAGCTCAGCTGATCTGAATAAAGAACTCTTCAAGTCACAGGAATTTGGCAATGGTCCTTCTTGCTCGACAACCTCATGTCACCCAGTGCAGTCATTTCCTCAGCCAACTTTATCTACACTGTAAAGTAACTTCCTTAACATTTGCTTTACCTTCCATTGTTTTGTGGTTTTAACATTTAGAGCCAGACATTCAACAGTTCTCATATTTTAGGAGGTGAAATGAAGATCATCACCTTGTATCCTGATGACAGTCCTGAGCAAGCTTCACGAGCGTGCTCACTAGCAGCTCGGTGCTGTAACTTGTTCCCGACAGGAGCTTCTCAGCTCCAATTTGCTCCATCACAGTCAGCAAGTGTTCAGCCGCACACTTCCGCACCAGGACATTGCGGTGCCTGGAAACAAGAGGACAAACACTGGGGCAAAGGGAAAAGGAGGGCCAGAAGCACAGGCCTCAGTCATAGCACACTCCCTGTCATTACTAGGGGAAGGAGGCATGCGTTCTTGCTGCAATTTTAGCCACCTGTAGAAGATTCTGTCCTCAGATGAACACAAGCTGGCATTGTATAGAGGGATTACTTGCAAGGAAGAGGGAGGAATTGGACTCCCTGGACTATCTAATACACAATTTCTTTCCCAAAATTAACCCTGAGGAAGAGGGAAATGAAAGACAATTCATGCTGACTTGTCAGAGGGTTCCCACTACACAGACAGAGCTGCAGCAGGACTGAGACTTATTCCACCCATTTATTTCCAAAACTTCAGACCCTTGAAAAAAACAAATGGGGGGAAAAACGTTGTGGGGCAGGAAGCTGCAGAATATCCAGCAATGCAGCCAGTTTTTTCCTTGAGGCTTGACAAGAGGTATGGTTGAATGTTTTACCTTTTTCAAAAGCTGAGGAAAAGGTAGCAGTCATTTTAGCCAGGTTGTCTTTTCTAAGGGTGCCTACTTGAAACTCTCAGGCACAGCACTAATGTTTTAAGGCAGCATTTGCTTCAGCTATCCCATGGGAGTTGGCCTATGAAGGCACATGTGAAGGTGCCCATAAAGTGACTCACCATCCCAAGGCTTACATGCAGCATCAATTTGAATAGAAAGTGGAGCTCTAAGGACACAACAGTCAGACAGACTCCTCTCAGCAGGAGCTCTGCCTGCTGTGCAGCCTGTGCTGCACCCAGCAGGTTCTCCCGCACATGCTCCGTGTCTCAGCAATTAGCCTCTTTATTTCTCAAGTTAATGGCATAACGATGATGCATGGTTTTTCCCAGCACCTCTGTGGTTAGCCTTGTGAAATATCAAAGGGCGCACACTGCTGGAATTGCCATTGTCCTTCTTCCCACAAAGCCACAAGGCTGTATTACCACCCTTTGCGGGGACTTTCACTTCCCCATCATTCACCACAACTAGGCAGTGTTGACAGACTGTGAGAACAAATAGGCCATAGTGGGGCAGAAGTAGATGACAAGAGGAAGGGAGCAAGCTTGATCAGAGAATCTAATCTCCAAGTGCACAGAAGATGCAGGAGAAAGGACCCCTCCCTCCCCTCATTCCCCTTCTGCCTCCCATCCCTTCCCCCTGCTCACATAATTTAAGGTGAAGGATATCACTACAAGAGGAATGACATACTTGACTCCACTAGCTATAAGAGCAGTCATTGCTCGTGCAGGAGTCACAGTCCCCACCATGATCCCCAGGGATCGATTAGCTGCTTTCTGAATGAACTCGCTGGTGTCCCCTGTCTTCTGGAGCAAGACCCGAGCAACCTCATCCACCTCGTGGTCCATGTGCTTCTTCATGGTCCTGAAGAGCTCTCCAAGAATGCTGATTGCAAAGCGAGACACCTTTGAGCGGAGGTTGTTCACCTGGGGAAGTCATGAGGGGAAAGGTTAAGAACGTTAAAACGTTGAGGGAGGTGATTCTGCCCCTCTACTCTGCCCTTGTGAGACCCCACCTGGAACATTGTGTCGAGCTCTGGAGCCCCCAACACGAGAAAGACATGAGCTGTTGGAGCAAGTCCAGAGGAGGGCTACCAAGATAGTCAGAGGGTTGGAACACCTTTCTACAAGGACAGGCTGGGAGCGGTTGTGGAAAAGAAAAGGCTCTGGGGAGACCTTATAGCGGCCTTCCAGTACCTGAAGGGGGCCTACAAGAAGGCTGGGGAGGGACTTTTTACAAGGGCCTGCGGTGACAGGACGAGGGGTAATGGTTGGAAGCTGGAAGAGGGCAGGTTTAGACTAGATATAAGAAAGAAGTTCTTCACCCTGAGGGTGGTGAGACACTGAAACAGGTTGCCTGAGGAAGTTGTTGATGCTCCATCCCTGGAAGTGTTCAAGACCAGGTTGGATGGAGCCTTGAGCAATCTGGTCTAGTGGGAGGTGTCCCTGCCATGGCAGGGGGGTTGGAACTTGATGATCTTTGAGGTCCCTTCCAACCCAAACCATTCTGATTCTATGATTGAATCACCTTGTAAAGAAAATCAGTTCCCCTAGACAAAGGTCCCAGGAAACAAGAAGACTTCTCTTTGTGTTCAGGTGGAACACAAGTAAGAGCGTAGTAAGAGCACAAGACCACAACAACAGAAACACACTTACTCTGATACCAACTTCTTCTCTGGCCTCAGGCCTGCTTATACGATACAATTTTAATGAGACTTCAGTCCTAAAAAAAATACTGTTTCACCTAGAAAAAAGTGTGCTACTTAGCCCATAATGTACACTGCTTTGATTTTAGGCCCTTTTATTGAAAAGAAATGAACAAAAAAAAAAATAAAGAAAGGGCTGTTTTTAAACTATACAGACACAATTCATAAAGACAAAATAGAGAAAAAGCAGTACTTTCCTCCCACACAAAAATGCAGCACTGGCAGTTTGAGCACTCAACCAGGAAACAGAAAATACAGGCTCAAGTCTACAGACTAGTTTGCAGCAGGGACTTGAGTCCGTCTGTGGCTCAGTCTACACAGGAGAACCCTAGCTGTTAGACTCGTGGCACTCAAGGACCCTGGAGGTCACATGCAATTATAGCTGTGATCAGTGCTGTTTTACAGCCTTCAGTGCTGCTCTGGAGTGATCCCTGCTTCCAAAACGTTCTCCCACAAGGGTAAGGAAGAAGCATCTCAGAGTCATGTGCTTCATTTGAAAGACACTGTGAAGGACAAACCAGTGGTTCTTTCTGCCAGAGTTAGTTGTGCCTGTTAATAAAAATGAACAACATAAGTGCTAGAAGTGCATGTGAGAGCAAAATCTGGGAATGGAGTGAAATAAAAGCTGAAAGATGTCTCTGCAGATGAGTGTGTAGAACAGAGAGGAGGACATTTCCTCAGAAGTGCAAGTGTGATATAAAAATCAGATGAGCTAAGCTGAAAGGGCTTCTTCTCCTAACCCTGATCTCAGGATGGGAGAATCCAAGTCCTGAATATCTAAACAGAAAGGTTTGAAGAGTCCAACAACACAAGGCACATTCAACCCTCCAACACCATTAAGTATTGGATAGAAGGACTGATTTTCATGGAAATGAGCTAAGTCTCAAGTCTTCTGCAAGAAAAGGAAAATTTAATATGTTTGGCAATCGTGTAGTAAGAGTATAAGGCAGCTGGTTCAGGCCACAGACAAGTGCCAAGTTGGAAATAGAGCCACAGATGTTATTAAGGAGCTTAGATTTAGACCTTTGTGTTAACTGAGAGATGAGATAGTGAAGTTGTGTGTGCAACTGCCGAGCAAACCCCACAGCCAGGCCACTCCAAGCACCAGGTGGCTGAAGTGCAAAATTCCACTGGTGCACAGATCAATGGAAAGGGCAATTTACCAAAATGCACGGAGAAAGGAAGAAGATATCATCAGGAAACCCTGGAAAATAAATACCTGCAGTCAATCCCCCAGGATCCTGAGGAGGAAGAGGAAGTGTTAGGAAGCTGGGAGGCAAAAGCTGCAGTGAATTACAGCTTGGGTAGAGATTTTGGCTGTGACAAAGATTAGTGTCTCAGTTTCTGCATCTGCATTATAATGACATCTAGCTCAAAGAGGAGAGACAGATGCCCTACATAACAGTGAATATAGCTATATTGTACACAGATCATATAGATAGGTGACATAGCTATTAGAAAAATGTGGTCTAAAAATAGTAAAGAAAGCAGACACTGAGCACACATGTAGACGAACAAGCACATTTATACTCTACGCCCCATGTATGAGGTACATGAGACACAATTAAACACAATATACTTACCTCTTTGGTAACTGCCAAGGAAACATCTTGAAGTCTACAAAGAAGGACTTCTGAGTGGCAGATAGCCAGACATCTGACACTGAAGAGTCCCTTTGCCTTCTGCTCCCTGAAAGGCAATTACCACAAAGATTGATTTTTCTTACCAACCAAGAACTAGGCAGCACCTCTGAAATTACCAGGGTACTGGCTCAAACAAACAAAGGGAGGTGCTTCTCATCCAGTGCTTAATTAAATCATGGGAATTTGTTGCCACAGAATGCTGTGGCGGTCAAAAGCATACATAAATCCAAAAGGCGAATAGATGATTTCAAAGGGGATGGGTTAATTTGTGGCCATTAAACAAGACAGCCTTTCTGAAATCCCTGGCACATGAAGACCCTATGTCACTGCTTTGTAGAAGCTGGGAGACTGTGCCATGTGTCTGTTTCTTGCACCCTCGCTGTACCCTCTCCCTGAGACAGAGTCCCACCTAGCTGTTACTGGGGCATTTTCCCTCTTTGCCATCCCCGGAGGACAGTTCGGAAGTAAGAGTCTGCACAGCCACTCCGTAGCTGAGTTTGCACTCTGCAATATAGTTGTGCGTCATGTCGTGTCGTCACCCCCACCCCCAAAAAAAAGTAGTATGTCCTAAAAGATGCCACACCTGGGCAAGAACAGACAAAATACAGGATTTCCCAGAAAATCCCTGCTTAAAATAACACCCACAACAGCAACATGTTGTTTAAAGGTAGTAAAGCACTACCTCTTTCAGCACTTTCTTTGTGAAGGACCTGAGCTACATGAAGGCATGTCATGCCATCACAGGTTCACTAGGGCTGCAGGGCAGGACTGGGGACCCATCCCCACTGGGGTCCCTGAGGGTAACCCCAACCCCCACACCTGCAGTAGCTCTCTGCACATCACAGGGCACCAAACAGGAACAGGGAAGAGAAAGGGGAGAGGGGCAAAACAAAGCAATTGCACAAGGAGATGTCACAGAGGATTTTTAATGGTTATCCTAGTGTGAACAGAGCCCTTGTGAGTGTATGCTGACCCAGAAATCAAAAAGACAACCAATATCAACTGAAATTTGTGTGATGTCCTCCTGCCTGTATCTAATTTCAGGACATGCTGTGATTATCAACAAAACTTAGGCCCATGTTAAGCAGTGAGGAGAAAATGTTTAGTTCTAGAAATGCAAGATCAACAACAAGTAAAGTTCAACAAGGCCAAGTGCAAGGTCCTGCACATGGGTCTGGGCAATCCCAAGCACAGATACAGGCTGGGCTGTGAGTGGATTGAGAGTAGTCTTGGGGAGAAGGACTTGGGGGGCTTGTTGGGTGAAAATCTGAGTATAAGCCAGGGATGTGCGCTTACAGCCCAGAAATCGAATCGCATCCTGGGCTGCATCAAAAGCAATGTGGCCAGCAGGTCGAGGGAGATGATTCTCTCCCTCTACTCTGCTCTGGTGAGACCCCACCTGCAGCACTGCGTTTGGCTCTAGAGTCTCCAGCATAAGAAAGACATGGACCTGCTCAAGCAGGTCCAGGGGAGGGCCGTGAAGATGATCAGGGGGCTGGAGCACCTCCCCTGTGAGGACAGGCTGAGAGAGTTGGGGTTGTTCAGCCTGGAGAAGAGAAGACTCTGGGGAGACCTTGTAGCAGTCTTCCAGTACCTAAAGGGTGCCTTCAGGAAAGGAGGGGAGGGACTCTTGATTGGAGTGTGTAGTGATAGGATGAGGGCTCATGGTTTCAAACTGGAAGAGGGTAGATTTAGGTTAGATATTAGGAAGAAATTCTTTGCTGTGAGGGTGGTGAGGCACTGGCACAGGTTGCCCAGAGAAGCTGTGGCTGGCCTCTCCCTCGCCGGGGCAGTCTTCAAGGTCAGGTTGGATGGGGCTTGGAGCAACCTGGTCTGGTGGAAGGTGTCCCTGCCCATGGCAGAGGGACTGGAACTAGGTGATCTTTAGGTTCCCTTCCAACCCAAACCTTTCTAGAATTCTATGAAGATTCCTAAAGGATTTTTTTCTTTTTCCTTGTCTTCTGCAGTGAGCCCTTCATGAGAAATGACAGGCTGAGTAACTCTGCACCACGTCTCAGCTCATTTCTCAGAAATAGGAACTCCCTGTAGGTGTTCCTGGGACACACATGCAGGAGGTCACAGGGAGGTCCTGTCTCCTGCTGCAGCTGCCAGCAGTGGGACCAGAGATAAATCCTTACTCAGTCCCACCTGGGCCAGTGACCTGAGACCTACAAATCTCTAAACTCAAAACCACTTCCATCCTGCTTCTGGCTTCAGCCAACAAATCATCTTGTTCCACAGCTTTCTCTCTTCCCTGAAGATTTTGTTTGCAGCTACATGGACCAAAAGGCAAAGCTAGGAAATGGCATGGACCTGTGGCAGCTGTAGCACTACTACAGGCCAAGGCAAATGAAAGGCTGCTCTCATATCTTTATACTGTGACCACTTTGGAGCGGTTTCATTAGGTCCCTTTGGGCGTCTGGGCTGTCTGGGCTCCAAGGCACTAGAAGAAAACTGTTTCTAACTTACCTTTGCACTGAGAGGGAGAAAGTGAACAGGAGGCTTTCTTACCAGTCATCACTGCTGAGCCATGTGAGTGCGTTGAGCAACTCCTGCTGTGGGTAAGGGAAGGGTCTAGCTTCCTGGGCACACTCTGGCTCCTCTCCCCACTCCAGGAAGTCCAGAGCAATGGCCGGCAGCGAGTTTGCTGTAAGAAGAGGGTCAAATACTAGTACCACATACCCCAGGGCAAGGCACCCTGCCCATGAGCATACTGCAATCCAATCTCCCAGCCAAGATTACATATGGGTGCAAACTGGCATTGGTTCAGAGACTTCCCTGCTGTCTGGCTCATTGCTTTCCCTGGCACCCAACCATCTCCCAGGCCCCCCAAGCTAGGCACCAGTTCCCTGTGTAAACCTGAAAATTGCACACACCAGAGCCAGCTCACAAGTCCCTATAGGTACCACACACAGCTTGCAGATTCACAGTGCTGCAGAGCTCACACTCACTGGAAGACTATGTCGCCCAGTGAGACTTGCTACACCAGTAGTAAGCTCCTGGGATGGGCATGTACCTCCCTGTATCACCGCCCTGTTACCTGAAGCACTGAGGACAGAGGCACCCTGTTACTTTCCAAGGAAACGCCTCCAGCTGCCCTGCAGTCAGCACCAAGCCTGAACAACCAAGTCCTGCCAGGCTTGGGTGACTCCCCAAGGAGCAACCACCAGGAAACAGTGAGACCTGACCCTCTAAATCTGACAGCGCCTCTGTTTCCATTTACTTCAAATATTCTAGACAGCAGGCAGCTGAGTGCACATACATTTTAGCATACTGTTGGGAAAGTAGTAGTTTATGGATTTTGCCATTTTCCAAACATTATGAATATTTACTATTTCAGAGGTACCCACTGGCTGTATTCCGAAGATGCTGAGGTGAAATTTATTTGTCATCAAATGTACTTGTTTGCAAATTGTGCAATGCCTAAGCTTTCTCTTGTGGAAAAATGCAATTTCTAGTTTAGATAGTTGTGACAAAAAAGGCTTCCAAATGTGAACTGAGAATAAAAATATGTAAATATAGATGCAAATTGTTGGCAAACACACTCTCTTGATGATAAATATACAAGGGATAAGAAAATTCAGATGACAAATGCATTTGTTATGAAACCTATTTGTCATCAAAAGCACCATAGGTCAAAAATTTCATGTCTTGCACTCAAAAGCTCATTTTCTAAAGTGTGGATGAAAACTTCTGAGCTGTCTAAAAGCACTGAGTATAAATATTGCACAGAATCTAAATGAACTGCTGTGGACTCTGTAGGGGTTTTATGCTACCTTGCATGCTCTACAAAGTATGGAGGATGGAGGAACTGTAAAACTAAAAATATTCAGATAGGGACTAATTTGGACGTCACCGATATCACTGTCAATGACATCAGTGATGTCACTGCATGAGTATATAGATATACACATCTATATTCAATGTGAATGGAGAATGATGTCAGGCTAGATCCAGTCAGCTTTGAAAAACAGAGTAGCATCACCAGAAAAAGGCATTCAAAGTATCATTCCTAGCTCCCTTTTTCTTAACTCACACTGCTCGGGATCATAACACGAGGTAGGCTACCACAAAGGAGACACAAGAATCACTATGGGTCACTATCTGCTGTGTGTTTATTGCAGGTAGCAAGCAGCCTGGGAGCGCCAGGAAGCCTCTGTTGTATGTTGTCTGCTACACGCAGCCACCCTATTTGGGTGGGGTGACAGAAAAGTCACTGCTTGTTCCCAGCTTGCAAGGCAGGTGGTGGGATGAGAGAGGCTGGAATCTGTTAAGCACTTCTAGGTGCAATAGCATGATTGTACTAAGTCACTCATTTCCATGCAGAGACAACCCTTGCTGTGATAGCAGAAAAGCTGGCTGGAGGGCCAGACAGCAGCACAGGCAGAGGGCCAAGACAGTGAGTAGCTAATTGATCGTGGTGGTACACATATGTGCCCAGTGAGCACACCCTGCCAGACTGCGCCAGATCTCAGCCCTGCAGTTACAGCTAACCCCCCCACCTCCCCCGGCACCAGTGTTATATTTTGGACTATCAGTAAGGGCAAAAGCTAGAGCTTAAGGCTTTGCCACTACTTTATTCAGCTAAGTTTTCCAATGTACCTATAAGCACCAGCTTCTCCAGTATCACCAAGCTGGAGTGGATCCAAAGCATGTTTGCTCTCAATCCTCAGGACAGACTTTGGATCCAAGATCCTACCTGTGGCTGAAGAATGATACAGCTTGTGCTCCTGGTGCAAGAAAAGAGCTGGTGCAGGGGCTGCAGCAGAGGAGACTCACCTGAGGAGTTGCGTGGAAAGCTACCACTCTGGCTGATGACAGGGATGCTGGGCAGTGAGTGCCTGTTGACCTGCTTCCTCAAGGCAGTACCAGCCTGCTCTCTGCATGCATTGCTTGTGCTGGGCCAAATGATAGGCGGTAGGCCAAAGCCTGCAGAGACTGAAAAGGACCTTGTAAGTGGAGAGCGCTGGACAAGGGTGGCTATGGGCTTGGAAAAGTCTAGAAATCTTGCTGGAGCTAGATAACATCCCTTTGTTGTCCCAAAACCTCCAAGCATAACTGTTGCACACTAACATGGGAGAGTGATCACAGAATCATAGCATAGTTTGGGTTGGAAGGCACCTTTAAAGGCCATCTAGTCCAACCCCCCTGCAGTGAGCAGGGACATCTTTAGCTGGATCAGGTTGCTCAAAGCCCTGTCCAACCTGACCTTGAACACCTGCAATGATGGGGCATCGCCAACTTCTCTGGGCAACCTATTCCAGTGTTTCACCACCCCCATCGTAAAAAAACTTCTTCTTATCCAGTCTAAATCTACCCTCTTTTAGTTTAAAACCAAATGCAGTGATGCTTTCCCTAAGCAATGAGGAAAACTCCATACTCATTGTCTTTTGCTTTCCTGTTTCAGAGACTGGATAGGTAAGTTACATTTCTGGGGCTTCCACCTCAGCACTCCTCACCATTACTTCACAAAATAATAGCAAGGAAAAGAACAGATAACCTTGTCCGATGCCCTTGGGCTGAGTGCTGACTCTTAAGTTCCCTGCCGCTGCACTCATGGTAGCGTGTGCAGCAGCAGTACAATCAGAGCCCGTCAGCTGCAATTAAGTCAGTAGTGTTGCTTGCTAGTGTCAGTAAAACATAAGCACTGGCTAAGGGCTCAAGCATGGCTCTGAAATGCAAGCTCCTCAGCAGGGAGTGGTGTGAGCAGGATAACCTGTCTTATATCTTTTGTGCTTTAATTAGAAATACTTTAATTTTGTTTCTTCTAAGTTGCACCCGGATTGAAAAGCATTCTTTTTGACTCACTCATTGACCTTTTTCGGAGGCTACTCTCAATTAGACAGTCTGAAGCCCCAATGTAGTTTGCAAGACAGAATTATCTACTCTGAAAGACTTTATAGGAGAAGGGAGGAAGGTGATATTCTGTGACTGACTCAGTGTGGGCCATGGGCAAGACAATTCATGCCTCTGTATTTTTATTTGGAAATATTTCCATAAATCCTACTCTAACTTCCACTCAGATGCAAGCATAACAGCCTCCCAGTCTGATTTCATAGACATTTACAACAAGACAGCAAGCAAGTGAATAAAAAGGCCCAACAACTATAGCAACCACGTACTTTTTTCAGCTGCATCCCCAGGGCCAACAATCTGCATAGAGAGCTGCAAGGACTTTTCCTTTTCTCTTTCTCTCTCTCTCTGCAAAAGCTCCATCTCTCTCATTCGCTTCTGGTGTATTTTCTTCTGAGCTGACTTGGACAAGGTAACATGGATCTGGTTGCAATGGAAATACATCACGTAGCATAAAGAGAGATACACAAACCACACACAAGACCTCATCAGGGACACAATGGAAGACTGTCATATTCTGTAATGCAGCTCCATATACATCCCAAAAGTCTCAGAAGAAATCCTCCTTTCCTCACCTTGACATACAATTACACCCAGTGATGTCTAACACTTCATTGCCATAACCTTCCACTGGTCCAAGATGCTGTTTCTCACTCTATGTCAGGAAGCCCTGCTTGAACCAAGGGAGTCATAGGAGTGCTCCAGGACATATGAAGAGCTCACATTACCAGTGAACAGGCAGTTCAGCTCATACAGGCCAGGGTAGGGGAATAAAAAACATCTGCAATAACTGGCAACAAGAGGTAATTCACTGTTTCTTAACACTCACGTCCAGTAATTACAGCTGCTTCTCACTTCCTTGCTTCTGAAGGACTCGGTTGCTCTCTGAGATCACAAGTCCAAAAAAGGAGACATGTGAAAACGCATTGGAGAAGCATTGGTCTTAATGACTAAAAAATGGAGAATGGAAGGGCTATGAGATAGAGCAAGAAAGGTAACTGAGCCCTTCCATTTTATTTTGCAGCCTTGCTTACACTCAACGTTGTAATCTTTGCTTCTGTGCTTCTGAGCATGCACTCTGCATACATTCGCTGACATGTAACTTGCTCTGCCATTCAGATCCACCCTAAAATGGCCTTTGTACATAAAGAATGCTTCTTGCGTAACCTTAGCACCATCTCCCGACCAGTGACTTCTGCACCAGTGAAAATACTCAAGGAATTGCTCTGTAGCTGTCAAATGTATTCCCAAGAGAATCGTCTCCCCAAGAAAAGAAGATGAATTTTAGTGACATTTTATGCTAAGCACTGAACAGCCACTGAAAAGGACACCTGCTCAGCCCTGTCCTTAGCCTTTACCCTTCCACTGCTGTCCTTCAAGTCGTCGTCACTCAGAAGGTGAGGGCTGACGAGATGATCCGTCTCCTTGGCCTGGCTGAGAGGGAGGCCTGTTAACAGGGGCACAGGTTCACACAAGTGTCCAGCAGACTTCACGCCACCAAAACCACAATGCTGGAGAACAGGCAAGACGGGTTCCAGAGTCTGGAGCTCTGACAAGACACGGATATAGGTTGTGTATAAGAACATCAAGGTACATATAACCTCTCCAAACAGATGGGTTACTACTATATTGCACTCGCAGCATAAATGACATTATTCTGTTGGCCATCAGACTCAAAACTACTGCATGATAAAGGCTTCAGCCCTTGGCTTCTTGTGAGCAGCTGCATTTGATAAAGAAGAGCAGAGAGATGGAGATTGCCCTTGCCAAAAAAGTTCTTATCTGTTCCTATCCGTTTTGATTTTAGTTAACATCCTCTTTTTCCCAGTTACTGAAAGAACTTCTGTTTTTTAATAGCTACATGCCTTCGTAGAGACAAGGATCAACATTTCCTCCTCTTCACTGGAATATTTGAGAGTGCATTTAAAGAAAAGCTTAGGATTGCTAGAGTGTTACCAAAACAAGAATTTTGTTCTTGAAGCTAGAGAATTAATTTTCCCCAAGGAGTTTCATTGTGAATTGTAGCAGATCAGCCCACTTTCTGGGCAGCCTAACTAGCTGATTTTATTAATGGGAATAGCACAGTGCAGCTCGTTCTGAAATACTCTGCAACAGAGCTGTTAAAACTCAGAGAACTAATCATTCCTTACATGGCTTCACAGATGATAAAATCATGTGATAGCTAAGCAGTAAAAAAGGAATTACTTTCTTAAATCAGGATTTTTTTTCCCCAGCAGAATGGTCAGGTCAATAATAAAAGAGAGGGAGAGAGATGCTTTAACGATATAGCTCTTTCCTAGTCCGGAATATATGCAGCAAAAATGTCACCTTACCTACTCAGCAATACTTCTCCCTAGTTGCATTTAGCATCCTAGCTGCATATCATCAATAAAGGAATCATTCCTATAGGACATGCCCATTATTTGGCAGAACTAACACTGAGCTGAGGGACCAGTGGATCTTATCCCTTTTTCTGCATCAGCAAAATTATTTGTTAAATTCTCATCTCTCCTATTCCTACAAACCCACAGATGGCAAAGGGACAGCAACGGTGTCGCTGAGGTTTTCAACTTAAAAGTATTGACTGACACATATGCACCAGATGCTGCATTTTCTTCTTGCAGAACTCTTATTGCTAGTAGCAATGCAAGGTGGGGAGGGGGGAGAAGCTCCTGCCCCAGCCTCAGTTTGCAATACTGACATATGCAGACAGAGTAGGGGAAGATGTTTGTAATCATAAACCTAGCACATGTGGCTTGAGGTGAGTTTCACAAAAGAAACCTCAGTTCATTATTCAGCATTTAATTTAGTGCTTTAAGAGGACAGTAAGCTCAGATCCTGCATAGGCTGGATCCTATTTTAGGTCTCGTTCTCTATAAACGGAAAATTCACAAGGACTTCCTATCACACAAGGTTTCACCATTTCTTCCAGTACAAAAATAGGCAATGTTGGTGAATCTACTTCAGATCTCAAAGGTTTTGGTTCAGAAACTGCTGAAAGGGAAGGTTTTTTTCCTTCAAGTGTAGGAAGAAGGAGTGGGAACGTTTTTAATTTCATGCAAAATGTCTCATTTTTCTCTAATCTTTGTGACATTAGAGAGCATGCAGGAGGATAAAAGGTGTGAGCACAAGGTAGAGGAATATTTTCTTTTCCTGCTGTGCATTTCCAGGGCCCCAAGGTACTCCTCCAGCTCCTGTCATTCATAGCTCCATTCCAGAGCCATTTTCACTGGATCACCAGAGCACATTTCCCAGTGACTGGTCTCTGGGGGAGCCATCTGAGCTCATCAAGGAATTGAAAAACGTTACAGGATGGTTTTCAACTGAACTTTCACAATGCCACCCACAGTGTCAGGATTCCTATGGTCATTTGAGGGCAGCCATGCCCTGTACCTACCTAGAGATTCAAGGGTCTTCCCTTCACTTCTGCTGCCTGATCTTGGCCTTAAGAAAATGGAGGATAAAAGAATATATGAGGACAGAAAGGGAAGTGGGGGGTAGCATTGAAGGAGACAAACTTTCTTCACATGGTCATTCTGATGAAGGTGGAAATGCAACCCATAAAACCAACAATATGCAAAGCTGATTAATTGCCACTAAACTTTCCATTGCTGGAGTAGCTCATCAAGCTCCAGCTGAAACACAGGAGTCATTCTTCAATTTGGGCCTTAAATATCCAATTCTGCTGTCTCTTCTTTTGGACCTAAGTGGCTCTCACTGTTATATATATATCCTTTCTGAATCAGCAAGAGATGTTAAGCCAGTCAAAAGTCTGTATAGAGGGCTGCTACATTTATACTGCTGCAGAAGCCTGACTTTGCCTGCTCAGGACATCAACTGATGACAGTATCTAGACCAGACCAATACATGGTAGTACCACTGCTGTCTCCTGAGAATAATATTATACCTCCCTTGTCTCTTAAGAAGAAAAAGGGGATTTCCAGCTGAACTAGTAGGTAAGCATACTCAGATTGCACTTTAAAAGCCATGCTGAAGCTTTTAAATTGGAATGATATTTCTATGACTCCTTATTTATTGTTATAACTAGGATAAGGTTGACAGCTAGATTTCCCCACCCATATTCAAGCAAATATCTTTCCATCAGTTACAGCCCTATAACTGTTCTCTAGCACCTTGCCCCCTTTGATCTTAAAACCATATGTAAATATTAAACATCTATAGTATTATACATCTATAAACTGGGATTTATCTGGGCTCTCATTATACAACGAAGGCTCAGACACAGAAAAGTTATGACTGACATTTACAGAAGCAGCATCTAAATTTGCAGGCAGCTATACAACAGTCAATATTTGCCTTAACATATTCTTGCAGGTACAGAAATTGGCAGTTGAAGATTACACAGAAAACCATATGCTGTACTCAGATCCATGCAATACAGTTCCCAAATGGCACCACAAAGATTACTGGATTAATCAGTATGAGTCCAGCAGAGGATCTGCTTTTAAGTTCCTCCTAAGTTCTGACTCCTCCTTCTCCCACTACCATGCCTGCTCTTAAGAGTGTATGATGTTGGTTTTGACATTGTGCTGGATCATCATAGATACACAAAATGGTGAATGCACAGAAATTTGCATAAATATATTAGAGAGCTGACTGTGGAAATAACCTCATGAGACAAGAATTGCAATGAGAATGGCATATTGGAGAAGCAGACAACTTGGCTTACCTCATCTCCAGGGCCTCTTGGTGCTGAGAGCCTGGGAGAGGCACTGCAGTGCTACCAGGAGCCCCATCAGATGGTCTCGCTGACTTGGGGATAGGGGGAATCAAAGACACTCCCAGCGACATCTTCCCATCCCCACCACTACAATACGAGGGCAGCAGGGAATCCTGGAAATAGTAGAACGCAGTGCTCAGCTCGAGCATCCAGCCTTCCCCCTATGATGCCACAAGAAGCTTAGCCATGCTCCTAGCTAGGACTTGACAGGAAAAGAAAAGTCAAACTGATGAAGCAGCTTGGCCTAGGATGGGCAATGGAAAAGGAAGTGGTGAGGAAGAGACCATGTCCTACAATGTTGCCAGCTCTCTCCCCTCACTCACCTCTCTGGTAGCGTCTAGAAAGAGGGATGGAGGAAGCAGGGGCAGACACACACCCTTTCTTAGTATCCCATTGTTCTTGGAACAGCTAAAGAGGCAAATCAGAACCTGTTCAAACTCCAGTGAAACCAACAGTGTTAATGTCAGGGATACATTTGGCCCTGTATCTGCAAGGCTGAAATAAAGTACACTAGCCTTTTTTTTTATTATCCTGTTTACAAAAGCTGTTATTCATCTGCCTTCTCCCACCCACCATGGCAAAACCAAAACAAGTGCAGTTTCTGCCCCTCCTGAAAGGGTAATCAAGTAGATGGGGTCTGGCCGGAATTGCCAGTTCCTATCACTTACTCCTGGGCAGACCCATGGGAGAGGATGAAGCTGCAAGGGGCCACTGAACTCTAGAAATATTACAAGAAAGAACTATGCACAAGGGCATGGGTGTACAAGTAAAAAACAGACAATGTAAAGTTGAGTTTGCAGGACTGCCTGCTCCAGCAAACCTCTTTTTCCATCTAAACCAGACAGAGCTGTTATAAAAAGCCGAGACACTGGTGTGTCTGCAACAGTAACTGCAATGTACAGATGGTTCAGAGATACATGTATTTTACTAAACGTAGAAGGACATGCTTGACCAGATTAGACACATTTAGTTGCTCTTAGTTGCTCCGACGGGTTGCTGGTGTTTTCTCAGTCATAAAACACAGCAGGAGCCACTGGAGAGCACAGAAGCTGTTTAAAGACCTCTTCTCCTATTGATATACACCAAGAACATGAAGTCCACAGTATGCACATTGCAAAGACAGCCTGAAGCACAATATCCAGCTGAGCCCTTCCTTGGCTCAGCTGCTTCCTGGGGCTCACACCACAGGGAAAGAAGATCTCAGAGCTCTGCCTACAGGAGATAAACTGAAGATCCACCACATGTGATTTAGCTTGGTTTCCTTACTTTACATCCTTTTCCCTCTGACATCAGCTCCTTGTTATTCTCATCATTGTCATCACAGCCTGTGCCATTTTCCCCATGCTCCTGCTCTCCGTTGCTCATCCTGCTGGGCTCTGAGGAAGGAAGGCTGTTCTGGATAAGAGGCATGGTCTCAGAGGTTACCAGGAGCCTCTGTGAGGCTGACAGGGAAACTACTGGCTTCAGGGTAACCCCCTTAGGGTCAGTACAGTCAGTCAGGCCTGCAAAGTGGAGACACAAGGTGTAATAGAAGCAGCACTGCAAACCTAAAGCATCTGAAGCTAGATATTTCATTAGACAGATTTCTTGGCAACTTCTAAATAACTGCACAGGGAAGCAGGCTCGTGCTGGCAGCCACAAACCAGGCCAGTGGACAGCACTTATCCACTTCCACAGAGCCACCAGAGGAACACCCTGGTCCTCTGGGTTCCCGTCAGACAACAGGGAGCCCATGGACCTGTGCTTACCCAGAATAAGTCACCTGGACATACACCCTCCTCTCCCTGTCCCACAGTTGTACATCCCTACAGCAACAGGAGGGCTACGCAGGGGACTGAGGGCAGGGCAGATTATTGCAGGTGGGCACGTGCAGGGGAGAACTTTTCACTGGGAACAGACACTAGCTCTCTAAGCTGGGAAAAGACCCTTCTTCCCACAAGAGAGGCAGGCTACCAACTTACCTCTCTGTAAGGTTAACAGACCCTCAGACATCCTCCTTGTCTTCGGCTTGTCCTTGGTCTGAATGGTTTCCAGGGCAGCACTGCTCATCTCCCCCTGGGTCAAGGCTTGTTGAGAAAGGTGGGAGAGATCACCTCCATCCCCAGCGCTGAGGTCATGCACACTGGCCTTGCTGACCCAGCCATCCAGGGGAGAGATGGCCCTTGGGTATGGAGGTTTCCCAACTCCATTCCCATCCCATAAACTTGGCTGCTTCTTCATCTGGTTTGTTAATGCGGACTGAAAAGAGGCTGTAGAACAAGTAAAAGGGAAGAAGGGAGTTAGTTGACCTCACACCTTCACAACCAACCCATCTAATGAGTGAGGCATTTTTTTAATCATTCAGAAGACCAGCTTGTTTTTATTTTTCATAAAACTAGCATCAGTTTAATTCTTCTTCTGAACAGCATTGAGCTAGCAAGCAGAGAGAGAGGTTGAAGGCCCCACCGATAAAAGGGGAAACATGATTCCCATTTCAGGCCTGGGTTTCTGTGAAGACTACCAGTAAAGACCCACGTGGTGCTATTGGTATTTCTGGAAAGCATAAAGACATCTCAGCAAGCAGGCAGACCTTGCCAATGTTGCTACAGCACCATCCCACTCTCAAGGTCAGATCTGATGGGCAATCAGGGCAATCAGGGGCAGAACTGGGAGTTTACCTATGGCGAGACCACACATTTATAAATGTGGATAGAAACAGAAATCACACCTCATTACCTTGCCTGATTTATGGCCAGTTGTGCCACACTCCCTGTCCTGGCTGGCAGTGGTAGTGATTTGGCTACTGTTGATAAAGCAGAAAGCATAATGAACTAATGCTAGAGAGATGTGATGCCATGGAGCACCATTGGAGGAAGGCAGGATCATCTACAGCTCTCTGTCAGCCACCTACTCTGACACAGCCAGCACAAAGGAACTGTCCTCCAAGGAGCATTTCTCTCTGAAATCAGGCTGAGTTTTTTTCATTTGGCTGAGGCCACCATTGCACATTCAACCCCTTTCCATACTCACCTCCTTCTTCAGTGATCCAGCTGCTGCCACAAAGCTGCAAGTTCGAATCAATGCTTCCACCTCGCAGAGCTGTGTATCTGGGTTTGAATTTGGGAGCGCTCCCACAGTAGACAGCAACTGAGGCATTAAAATAAGGACAGTACAAATGACTCAAATTCACAGCATTTGGTATGGAGAGGAAAAAACAGACACCCCTTCTCCACAGAAGACTAGCTCACCAGTAGCGACCTGCAGTTCCAGCCTCGGCAATGGTCTGTTTGACCTTACAATATTCTGCCTGGTGATGCGCTTGCATCCAGTGCAACATTCTGCAAATTTGTGTATGTTTTGCTTGTTGCCCATCCACAACTACAAGATTTATTTCCTCTCCTTTCAAAGGGTTGACAACCCACAGTGGTTTCTAGAATTTAACATCATCTGGTAAGTAGATGCTGTCCAAAGTTAGTTTGAAAGTCCTTTGTTTCTGTAATTCCCACTCAGTTTTGGCTCGGGTTTTGTTGGGTTTTTTATTTCCTTCACAACAGAGTATGAGGACACAAACAATTAATCACAAGGTGTTATAACTAAAAGAAGGTTTGCACTCTGCATTATATCTCCCAAATATTCAGTGGGTTTATTTGATTTCTGTATCTGTAGGATGCAAATTGTCCATCCAAACATTCTCCTTTGTTCTACTTCACTGTTACAGGGGTTTATTCCCTGCTTTCTTTACTGCAGAGACATCCAAAACCAACATAAACATGGTCTGCCTCAAAAGATTTCTGATCTTGGCTGATACTGAAAATTCAAAATTATACACAGTGCTTTTCCCTGCCCCTTATCGTAGCCAGTATCTTCCCCATTACCCAGCCTCTGAGGCTGGGCTTTCCCTTGTACAGCATGAAGAATAGCTGCTGCACTTGCCAGCATCTCCAGGGTCTCGTGATCAGCGCTTTGAATGCAGCTTTTGTGCACTCTCTGCCTCCCTGAGCCGAGCAGCATTCCTGGGCATCGGCACTGCTGCTGCAGGTGGACATCCTCCAGGCAAAGGCTGCAGGAACGGGATTGCAACAAGCCCTGGCTGAAGAAGTCTCCAGTCTGCTGCAGTCCTTTACCTGCTCCGAAATCATCTTGCGTTGCCATGGTAGAGGGGGCGATGGGCTTTTTGTAGATAAGAGTCTACTCGATGTGCTGCTGGTCACTGGGCCTGATACAGCTGCTGGTGGGTTCCCCTGCAGCATCAGGAGCCTACATGGAAAAACAACACTGCTAGTGCAAGTGACAGCCACCAGTCCCTGGCGTTGCCCTGCCTACAGGGGTTCCTGCATATGAAACTGCTCAAGTCAGGTGGTGTTAAAACAACATAAAAATATATTTAAGCTATGCATTTTCCACATTCTGTCAAAACCATGGCCACAAAGTCCAAACACTGGAGGATGACTGCTGTCGGTATGATGGGTGAAACATAACTCCACCCCGGCAGCTGCTCTCCCCATGGCGGTATGGGCACGGCAGCAGAGGCAAGTCTGTTACCACATCCGCTGCTGTTGGACCCAGCGCAGCATGTTGGAGTTGTTCCCACTGAACTCAGCGCTGCCACTGCAGCAGGAGCATCATTTCACACATTTGAAAACAAAGAGCTGTAATGTCTCACTGGACTTGCCCCAAGAACAGACAACAAAAAAAATCGGGGGTAGAATAGTTTGCTCCTTTTTAATACAAAGGCATCTGGATTTAAAGTGGGGGGCACTGGGCTAACAATACCGGAAGTTGGTGTGTAACCCCATTTTCTAGCACTTGCCACCGGTCTGCAAGACTTTTTCCATAGAAAGAGATAGGTAAGATTTTATGACACATCCATGAGTAATTCTGAGCCCAAACTCAAACCACAAGCCGAATACTTCCAAATCTGCCACCTGTTGGGAAAGGAAGGAGAAAAGCAGTCAAGACAACTGCCATTGTTGCTAAATTGCCTGTGTTAATAGTGAGGTGAGGTACCTACAGCACTTGCAGCACCTCAGAAAGCCTGAGGCTACAGCATAACCCGTATTTAGGGATGCCAGCTATCCAGAAATTACCTGCCATGCTCACACCAGCAAATGCACATCCCGCAGGACTAGTGGAGTTGTAGGGTGTATGAGGGTAAAAGAAGTTTATGCTTCGCCCTTCAGGCTAGTGCTGCAGCAAAATGTGACACTTTGCAGCTTCAGTCCCTGCAGTCCATTTCCTTACCAGTTTTGTTGGTTTTACTTCGAAACTCTATAGACGTATCTTTTCAACTTTTGGCAGAGACTTCAGTCACCATACAGGGCTTGGGCTTCCTTAAATGTATTAGCCAGTTTCTTCTGTGAAATTTCTTAGCCCCTCTTCTTAAATGAGAAGGAAGGTGGGATTTTGCAGAGCATACCTTAGGATAAGAGGTCAGGATGGTAAGCCTGCAGTAAAATTCCTATAAATGCCAGTGAGTACAGAAGGATGCCAATGTGACCTGCTTTTGAAAATCCACTCATAGGTGCCTCTAAAGCTCTGCAAACAGAACAACTCTCACGCGGTAGCTAAGTGCAGCCAGAAGAATCAATCACAGGCACAGTTCAGTTAAACTATTACTGAAGGAAAAATGCCTCTGCTTTCGATGGCAGAAGCAAAGGCATGTCCCTATTAATGTGTTCTGTAAGCTTAAAACAAATAAAGAACACCTGTACAAGGACTTTAGGTACCCTACTATCGATCAAACTTACAATCAGATAAAATGGTATCCTCAAGCAGATTTCAATAGAAATTGTTCATATTGCAGTAAGGCCCTGTACTGTTCCACCCCCTGCCCAAGAGATTTAACGTTTCTCAAAAGCTGTCAAAGCTTTCATCTGGAGTAAAGCAAGTGATTTCAGAAAGGCTGGAGTTGACTGACACAGTTAACCCACTTCTGGCTTTCACCCTTTTTGTTAGTCTAGATAGATTCACAAAGACAGCTTAAGGTCAAGGAATGAAGGTGCTTAGGGGGTTTTTAGAGCCTAATTCCCATTACTTTCAATGAAAGGCAGGCATTAAAGACCCTTAAAAATACAAGTGTAGGTCTGTTTGGACTGTGTGCTTTAAAACAAGGAATGGAGGTATCGTTGTGAGTGGGACTAGGGCGTAAAGCAGGAATTAAGGTATATTTTCTTTGGTCTCATTGCACAAGGTGAATAGCTAAGAAATATGCCAGTGGCAATTTTGGCTGATTGAGATCACCTCTGAAATGAAGCTGAGCATGCCTCATTGCTTAAGGCATTAAAAATGCCCGAGAGAACCAGAAATGAGCGTATCCTGTAGACAGGATAGAAGGCTGCCTCTGCCACTGACTTGCCCGGTAACACAAAGCCAGGCTCTCCATGCCTCAGTTTTGTTCCTCTGCCGGGCTGTCCTACCTAAATGCCAGCATGCTATAAAGTGTAATTAGAAAGGGCATTACTTATGGCACCTTCATGGCCCCCAAAGGCTTAATTGCCTAAATTCAGGGCATAGTTCCTAATTCAGGCCAGCTACATGATATGGAAAGCCCCAAATGTGCAGCTATGTAGGACCACCCCTTTCTGCCTTGCACTGAAACTGCTGTAATGTAACCAGAACAATAATGGCAGAGCAGTTTGCCTGAAGCCTGAGGGAAGCACGGGGTGTGCAGCATTCATCTTTTGCCACTGCTTATAGAAGCATGGAAAACAAGCTGGTGACATTTTCTGTATGGAGAAGAACAATGGCAGTGGTTCACTGCTGAGTGAAAAAAACTGTTAAATACGGCTTCCTGAAGAGGGAAAAATGGAACACGTCTGCATATGAAGAGCTCCAGGCCTTGGTGATGTTTCAGTAGACAGTAACTGTATTCCTTGTCATCCTCCTGCTGGGTTAATCAAAAGGAAAGGCATCCTCTGGGATTTTCAGCCGCTTTGGATCATTAGCACCCAGTAAATGAAAACAGATTATTTAATGGTATCATTACTTTCTTTCCCAACTAACAAGCCATTTCTCTGGTGGCTTCCCAGCACAGCAAACGTACAGTATTGTTACATGAAACACGCTGATGCCATCAACCCTACAGAATCCGTCAGGATTGGAGCCGCTGTGGAGGTTGAACCCAATATCTCACCAGCCAAAGGTGTGTTGTGCGGATAAAATGAAATTTGAGTGATGACAGTTGTTTGGGATTTTTTTGGCCAGTGCATTTCAGCTTACAGGGCTGTAATGCATCTGTGGCATGAAGTTTTCATGTAGAGTAAAAAGCCATCACCCAGTGGAACTAGGCAGTTTCCCCAGGCCTGTGAAGAATCACGAGGCAGATCCCTGTGCTACTAATTGCATCTCTCCACTTTTCTAAGTTCTTGGTGTCAAAGCCACTTTGGTTAGACACACAGCTCACAAGAAGCACTCCTGTATGTTTCTGCACAATGATCCAAGCAAGATTACACATCCAAAATCTGTTTTCTCTTACTATTGAACTTACTGTTTGGAGGAATTTCTGAACCAGCAAACCTGCTTCCTCAAATATTTACTGCGCATGGCAAGGAGCACAGATAAAAGACGGAATACGATAGGCATCACCCACAAGATGCTCTTCTCACAAGTTCTGCCCTCAGCTTTCATTTGGAAGATCTTAAAAGTTCAATGCTTGTATCAAAAGCTCCTGTAATGGCTGCTCAACCATGAAACAAGAGTTACCACAAGCAACAGCTTACCCAGGGCAGCGAATCAAGACTTCAGAATAAGCCGATCTGAATGCCAAACCTCATTAGCTCCTTCAAAAAGCACTTGAACAATCCCTCATTCCAGCTCTAATGAGGTGTTGTGCTGGACACCACGGTTATTTGAGTACTGTACACAAGTTTGCTCCCACTGAGTGCTGTGACGGAGCTGTGGCCAAGGGTGGTTGTTTCCCAAAGGTGGGTGATTGATTGGTTTGTGGGCTCTGTGACTGCTGGACACAATGAGACAAGAAGGAGCCAAGTACACTGATGCACCTTTGCCTTGAGCATAACCCAGCCTTGACCAAAAGCATTGAAAGGTTTCGCCTCCTTATCGAGGCACCTTGATGAAGACCCTGAAACTGCCATGCAGCGGTTTGCAGAGTGCCTCATGCAGAGGGGTCCTCACCCTGAGGGGCCTCCAGGTGCTAACGCTGTATGAACACAAATTAGCTGACAGCAGTAATGCTGCAGGGGCTAGTGCTAGAAAAAGCACACAACAATCAGCTGCTGCTTCTCTTCTGAAAGCAGCTCTTCATGGCACACAGGATTTCTACTGTGAAGCCATCCCAGAGGGCTACTAATATACATTCCTAGGCCAGTAGTTTTCTTCTGGTTGAGCATGGTATACTGTTCCACACATCTTTCATAAAGGCACAAACCAGCTCCAAGCACTCTGACAACAGCAGGTTTCCACAAACAGATGCATAAATCCAAAATACCTCCAAGTGAGCATCCTATGGGCTCTGTCCTGTTCCTGTGTAATCATCAGGCAGGGAAATTCCCAATGATCTGAAACAATTTCATTCAGCTGCAACGTGGGATCTGAGTTTTTTATGGAAATTTTTCATTCTGAATAACAAGCATTGGGAACACGAGGTGAAGGGCTGACATGCATAAGCAGGAGCATATGCTCTAACGAGACCAGTTTAATTGTCCGTTTTATTACTTTTATATCTATTCCACTAGAGTCCCAGTACTGTTCTTAGTGCTGTATGAACCTTGAAACAATAGCTTCCACTGCTCAGAATTTATTCCCTGGTCTTTACAGTATTTAAGCACCTCTGTCTTCTTCAGGGCCTAAGTCCACTATTCAAGTATCACTTAAATATTTAAAGCCTCCATTCACCTAACCTACAAGGTATCACCTAACTCCACAGGCATTTAAATCCCTAAAGTGCCTGAGTGTCCACAGGTTTATGCCTACTAAACACAGGGGCTGTCTTGCATCTGACCTGCTGCTCAGAACTGCACACGATGGTACCCAGAGGGCCCAGTGCAGTGTCTTCAGGCAAGGTGAACAAACACCTATTTTCCAGTACCTACCAGCTGGCAGCATCTGACTCAGATGAGCTGGAGGCCACTAAAAGGTAAAGGAGTAATAGGCTGCCTCTGCAACAAACTGCAATGCTTACAGGGAGGGGGAGA